ATTATCTTTACAGTCATCTTACCGTATTTCGTTTCATGGCAATGATTACAATCCCCTTCATGCATTCCAGTAAATATTTTAAAGAAGCTCCTTTTATCTTGTTAACTGAGCCAGGAACTTAAGTATATGATAGGGAATAATAAAAAAGGCAACAAACAAAAAAGGGAAATCCTTGACTAGTACTACTACACCTTCCTTCCATTTTCCCCATTTACTGTCCCAATTATAGTTCAATTATGGCAGACACCCCCAATTTGCACTCTTGTGTACACTAGTTCTGACTGATGCTGATTTCATTCTGGAGGAAAGAAGGGTTTCTTATCAAACAAGTTTTGGAACTCTTCCTCTCTGAAAGATTATAGTGCACATTTAGTAGAAGGTTCTAGGAGTGATTTCAGTCAAGAAGTCTGTTTAAGTCACAGTTTGCTATATTTCATTACCCAAAATCCTCTTTGTGATATAAATTTTGAAGAAAGATTAACTTGGGCTAATAATAAAATGAGTGTGCATTCCTTGAACTTGTTAGCTAATGACAAGGAGAAATGTCACAGGAAAAAGCTAATGTTAGCTTTTAGCAAATGACAAGGAGAAACCTGTCACAGGAAAAAGCTAATCCAAAAGAGCAGAAAACTAAGAGTTGGCAGTACATGAACTTGTGAATGTAAGTAGGAAGATTAACAGCAACCAAGAAAAGAGAATAATTAAGATACACTACTGCAATTCTTTTGGAGTCCTGGTGTGGCGCTGTGGGTTTATACGTCAGACTGCAAAGCTGTTTGAACTGCAAGGTCGGCGATTCAAGCTCACCAGATGCTCCTCAGAAAACCTAAACAGGGTAGCTATAGGTCAGAACCAACTTGACGTCACTTAATAACAACAACAGCATTGCAATTATTTTAAAGAATTTTCTAATTTGTAAGTTTTAAACTATAAAAAGTTTAATATTCACTATCTAGAAAGTTCAGGTTAAAGTTTAAAAAGGAAAAACCTCTATAATTAATTACCTGAAGACAATTTTGACACAGTTTCCTATTTCCATAAATTTTTTTTTCCTATGAGAGCAATTCTAAGTGTTAAAGATCCATAAATGATATTTTAAAATAAAGCATGGTGCAGATGAAATAGCTTGAACTGCTAAGTCCTCAAAATGTGGACAAAAACTTAGATTTTAACACTTATTAGCTATTTATCTGACTTTTCCCACTTAGTTTCCCCAATGGCAACTCTATGTTAACACCAGCTACCTCACGCTATTTGTCAGAATTAAAATGTATGAAAACAACATACACAGAACTTAATGAAAGTATTAGCAGTCGTCCCTCTTCCTAGTACAGTTATTTACTAAAACTGAGAGATGAGAAAGTGACAAAACTAAGAAAAAGGTGAGAGAGAAAACAAAGGCTCTACTTGACTAAAAGTTCTTAGAAAATATAAGGCTAGAAAATCTGTACAAAAGCATACCTCAAAGATCTAATTTAGTTGTTGTTAAATGCCATTGAGTTGATTCCGTCTCATAGCAACCCTGTATAGGGTTTTCGAGTAGCAGCTGGCGAGCTTGAACTGCCGACCTTGCAGTTCAAATGGCTATGCAGTCTGGCTCATTAACCCACAGCGCCACACCAGGAGTCCATCTAATTTAGTAGGGGTCAGTATTTCTAGGCCATCATAAAGTACTTTATATTATTCCAGCTAGGACCACTCTCTTTTTAAAAAAGTTTCAAATTCTTTAAAAGTATTAGGATGTAAATAATTAACTTTTTTGTACTTTCCTTTAAGCTTAGTAAATAAACAGATTTTGAAAAAAAAATACATAACACATTTGTTAGTCACAGGCATTTAATTTTAACTGATTATGGAAAATTCCCTTTATTGCTTTATAATAATTACATATGCTTACATTTAAGCTTGGGTAACAAGTTCTAAGTACAAACTAGTATAAGGTGACTCTAGGCTTAAATAAAATTGCTGCTGAGATGGGATATGTTTTATAAAACTCTATGCTTAAAAGTAACAGTTAAACAGGCAGATTAGAAGGTAAAAGATCTGAGTTCTATTTCTAGCTCTTGTATTTAAGAGTGATGTGACCTTGGATAAATCACAATCTTTCTGAGCCACAGTTTGTTTTTTGTTTTTGTCATACACAAAACTGTGATTATATCTGTCTTGCTGTTGTAAGGACCCAGTGTCAATGCAACACAAGTATCACACTGGGTGTCTTTATGCCAGGGGAACTGGGTGGCTGGGGACAAAAGGTAAAAGGGTTACTTTTGACTGCATTCCTCTTATACACAAGTTTAAACATGTGCATGTATTACTTACCCAAAGAATAAAGTAGATAGGTTGGGAAGATTCAGGTTAGTTTCAGAGATATAAAAAATATTCAGATTTCTAAGCTGCCTTCCTTCCCATTTATATTTTTCAATACTTTGTTCTCTTCAGTACTCTGTTCTGGCCTTTTCTGTCACGAACGAATCATTATTACATCAAACACATGCAAGCGGGCTTCAGAAAGTTCATAGAAAAATGGAATGAAACAATAATGCAATTTTTAAATGAGTTTTTTTAAGCTCCCTTGTATCTCATTGAAAAGACACTTTTTTTGAGTCACATCAGCAACAGCCACATATATATTTTTTTAAAGTGGTGGTGGTGGTGGTGGTGGTTATACACTGTGGAGTTGGCTCTGACTCATAATTTATAGGGTTTCCCAGGCTGCAAATCTTTTCGGGAGCAGGAAGTCTCATCTTTCTCTTGCAAAACAGCTGGTAGTTTCGAACTGCTGACCTTGAGGTTAGCAGCCCAACTCATAATCACTATGCTATGTATCTTAAACAACAAAGTAATTTTGCAATCTTTAAATTGCATACATTTTATTATTATCCTACTGTTGGCATCCAGGTTTAATGTGCAGGACAGTAAGGTCAGTTTGAAAAACAAGGTAGGTGGTTCTAACCTACAAGCTGCTCCTTGGAAACCCTACACAGGGTTCTCTATGGGTTGGAGCTTAATATCTTGCACATATTTACTTTTTATGTTTCTTTCCTTCAATAAGACTATTAACTCACTAAAATCATAAACTTTTCTTTATGCCCACCCAAATATCATTTAAATACTAAACACTAATAGCAATTATTTTTTTATACATTCATGAGTATTCCCTATGCACGATAATGATTCAACTAGAGATGAAGAATCTGCCATTCAGTAAATAAAGTAGCATATGCAAGGTCACACAATGAGTAACTGGAAGAGTGAAAATTAAATTTAGAAATGTTCAACACACAATGAGTAACCGGCAGAGTGAAAATTAAATTTAGAAATGTTAGACTCTGAGGCCCATGTCCTGTTCACAGGAGACTTTCTTCTTTATTAACTAAATGGTCTGATTACTTAGAGAAAAAAGACAAATGTGTGGACACTATTCATAGTTTTAAAACCACATAGTTACTATTAGTATATGTATAGCTTTAACTCTTGTTTCTATATGCAGAGTCCTCTTATTGAAAACTGATTAATGCTACAGTGAAATCTCATCATGACTTTTATTCACTGTTATGTGCCTTTGAATAAATTCTGACTTACAGAGATGCTGCATGGGGTTTCCAAGGAGTGGCTGGTGAATTTGAACTGCCAACCTTGTGGTTAACAGTCCAGTGCTGATCCGAACCCCATACTCCCATCTAATGATATTTAATTTTTAGCTACTTGGATTTAAAAAAAGTATGTCTACTCAAAATTCAGAGACCACCAAATAAAATTATAAGTCACTCATAATTATCTCAGATACCTTTCCTCCAGAGGGAATTCAACAGTAAGATTGGTGGTGATATGCCGTGAAGACGATTCCGACCCATAGCGACCCTGTACAGGGTTTCCGAGGCTGTAAATCTTTACGGGAGCAGAAAGCCTCATCTTTCTCCCGCGGAACAGCTGGTAGTTTCGAACTGCTGACCTTGTGGTTCGCAGCCTGATTCGTAACCACTATGCTACCAGAGCTCCTTCCCCACAAATTCCAAATTTTTTTGAGCTAATCATTTTTTCCCTCTAAATTCATATACCACACTTCAGTGTCTAGTAAGCTTATCTGAGGCCCTAGTTATTGTTGCTATGTGCCGTGGAGTCCGTTCCGACTCCTAGGGTTTCCGAGGCTGTAAATCTTTACGGGTGCACAAAGCCTCATCTTTCTGCCGCGGAACAACTGACCGTGAGATTAGCAGCCCAATTCGTAACCACTTCGCTAACAACACCACGGTTTGTGTTGTTTGCAATTTTTCACAAGGGAACTAGACTGAAAAACAAGGGCGAAATCTTTACAAAGGAAAAACCGCTCAGTACGTCAGAAACTGAGTTTCACCGAGACTAAAAGACTTGTTAAGCGCCGTTAAGTCGGTTTTGACTCATAGCGACACAGTATAGGGTTTCTGAAGAGCCAATGGTGGGTTTGAAACGCCGACCTTGCGGTTAGTTGTCTAGTACAGCGCCACAATCACTCAGGGAAATCCACAAAGACAAATACAAATGGAAGAACATCCTTGTGAAGGTTTTAATCAGAAATTGGTCTCCCACTGTGGAGGCCATTAAGACACAGAAAATAACTTGCAAGGGTTAAATTAAAAAATACACTTTTGTTTAGATTCTAAATACGCTCTTCGGTCAACTTTGGTGGGATCTGACAGGCGAAACCCAAGTACTATCTTCTTAAGGAAAATCTGGATGTTGATGCAAGGAATACTCATTAATACACAAGCTGTATCTCCAGACACCGAAAATAAACCGACTGGAACTGAAATTAAGTCTTCCCTCCTTTATCTTTATGGAGGTAACAAGGTAAGGGCGCGAAGGATGCGAAGATTAAAGACTCACCTTTTCTAGAAAAAAAAGACCCCCAAAACTTCTCATCCGTTAAGGGACCTAAGTATGGTTGCAGGTGAAGAGAGCCTGACGTGGGCACAAGACCGCGGGCTACACGATCAGGCAACCGCCACCCTTCCCCCACTCACCTCCCGGAGCGCAGAACTGGAGCTGTCCGAGTAAGCGCCGCCATCACCATCGCCATCACGCTGTGTTCGCTGAGGTTGAAAGGGAGGTTCAGCCACTCCTGCACCTCGTGTAGGTCCTATAAGGCGGGTGATTGTCTTCAAGTCCCCCCTCCCCCCGGCGCTCGGTCCTGTCTCAGACGTCGCGGTCACCGCCTCCGCCTGCTCCCCAGGCGCTGCCACCACTTCCGTATTCCGTTCCTTCTCTTCCTCACCCTAGTCTCTGGGCTCTTTTCCTCCCAGCCGGCGCGCAGCTTACGCCACCACCCCGCGACCTCAAGCCAGGCCCACACGAAGCTGGGGCGGGGCTGCGCACGCGCAGTATAGCAAGCACGCCCGAGCGCGGGAAGCAATTTTTTGCTTGTCCTTGTCTCGCACCTAGTCTCAGCTCCGGAGGCTCGTTCTCCCTGGTGAGTTTTCACTCAGCCTGCTCGTAATCCCAGAGAGAAGCGTGCAGCCTGCCTAGTTTATTATCCTACAAATCTTTCGCAGTAGTCTTGCTTTTGCCACTCGAGAGCGGGAAACTGGACTGCAGTGCGAGTGCCCCAGAGGAAACTAATCTATCTTCTTTCCTTCAGCCCCGCCGCTTGCCTCTTTTGAAAAATAATACTAGTTTTTATAAAACATTTTCAGGCAGATAAAGGAAAAGATGCCTGCCACACAGAAGCCGATGAGATATGGACATACAGAGGGACACACAGATGTCTGTTTTGATGACACTGGGAGGTAAGGTATTTTAAGAAGAAAAAGAACATTTCAGGTGTAAATACGAGTATTAGAACATGCATTTCCATTTGTCATATTTACGGTTAGCTTTAAATGACTTTTTGTTAAGTGCCCTGTGCGGGGTTTCCGAGGAGCGGCTGGTGAGCTTGAACTGCGGTACCTTGCGATTCAAACTGATTTACGCAAACCCGAAAACATATTGATATGTAAAATGGCAATATAATTTTTGCGTAAATTGATTGTTTGGCTTGAAACGTCATACTAGTTGTGATTGTGGTGGCTTTGTGTTGTGTCTATTCTGACCAACCCTTCGTCGGAAACCCTATACACAGTCGCTATGAGTCGGAAACGATTCGATGGCATTTAGCAACAACAATTACAACATAGGGTTTCCGAGACTGTATATCTTCACGGGAGCAGAATTTCTCCAGTGGAGTGGCTGGTAGTTTCGAACTGTTGACCTTGTAGTTAGCAGTCTGACCTACGAAGCTAACAGTACATCAAAAACTTGAGATGTGAAATTTCTTAGCATACTGTCTAAAGGGTGATTATTTTCTTAGGGTTTTCCTGGGGCTTTTAACTTTTCTAAATTTCCTTCTTATTCAGCCCAATTGTGTGTCTTTTCTTCTCTATTGGGGGCTGAAGATACAATGGTGCAAACAAAGCATGATCTTTTCTTTCTTTGAACTTGAAGTTTTTTTTGTTTTTTTCCCTTATTGGCAAATTTATGATGGAAAAAATTACATACTACAATGGTGAATGTAAAAATGAGAAAGTAGAATCAAATAAATACTATGAACACAACTGGGAAAACAAATACCTAAAAACATACACGAGGGAGCTTCACAAAGTTTGTGGGAAATGTTACTATCTTATTTTTTTTTTTTTTAATGTTTTATTGTAAATTATGTGATAGTTTACATGAAAGAACGTTAGCTTTACATTCAACCTATCTATCTTACATTGCCATGTTTACAATTCTCTCCATGCATCATCAAACAACCAAAGGGTACACCCCGAAAGCCTGCCCCCTGGTTGTCAGCACAAACTCCCTCTCGGGGTTTAGAGTCCCCAGCTGCTCCATCTCTCCACATCATCATCTCTGCCTCCATCTTTGGCATCACTGTTTCTCTGGGTAGGGTCCTGCACTCTGGTCTTCTACCTTGATGGTCCCACGGACCTCTGCTCCTGAACTGCAAAATCAACCACTCCCTTCCTTTTGCTGCAAAATGTACACCTTTACATTTCCAA